CCCAGGAGTTGGAGGTTGCTGTGAGCTGTAATGCCACGGCACTCTGCCCAGGGGGACAGCTTGAGGCTCTGTCTCAAAAAAAAAAAATCTAACATAAGCTCAGAAAAGCACATAATCTTATTTGCACAGATGATGAATTTTTGCAAACCAAACATATTCACTTAACCAGCACTACGAGAAATGAAACATTCCCAGTGCACTCCAGAAGCTCCCCTCTTACTCCCTTACTTCACTACTTTCTCTTTTTCAGGATAACCACTATCCCTGCAGGATAATCGCTATCCTAACTTGTAATACCATGTATTAGTTTACCTATTTTTTTTTTGTTGTTTTTAGTTTTTTTGTTGTTTTTAGTTTCCCTGTTTTTGAACTTCATGGGGGTAAATACATATGGCTTATGTTCCTCAGTACAAGAAAAGGACAAAGAGGCAGAACTGTAAATCTATTTGTACAGAGCTGAAAACTGGGCAGAACTAATCTCTGGGCATCCTAGGAATCAACTTAGTTATCTTTTACTCCCTTTCATTTTATTTTGAAGGAGTCTTTTTTTAGCTAGCCATTTGAAACAATTCTAAAATGTTAGCATGATGTAGCTAAAACGTCATCTCTTTTGTCTTATTTTTAGGAGTATCTTGATAGTGGCTGGAATTTGAACAATATGCCAGTGATGGAGCAGTCTGTCCTTGCTCACATTACGGCTGATATATGTGGCATGAAACTTCCTTGGTTGTATGTGGGAATGTGTTTTTCGTCATTCTGTTGGCATATCGAAGACCACTGGAGCTATTCAATTAACTACCTACACTGGTGAGAAGTTCCAAATAAAATTTATGAACGTATACAAGCTGGGTAGGAAAACTTTACTTTTCAACTCAGATATGTCTTAACTGTGTCTTCAGAGTAATGAGCTACATTTTTTCCTTTAGATTTTTTATTGCTATTAGAAAAGGCATTCTAACAAGTTAAGACAGTGTGGTTCTTAAAGATTCCTAGAGTGTCCATGAATTCCCTGAAATTGCACACACACAGTTTTGCAAGTGTAACATTTTCCTGGGAGAGAGGGTAGATTTTATCTCAAATTTACTCATAGAAAGGTTTAAAAGGACTGAGCTTTACTTTTACTGAGTTTTTCACAATGTGTACACGTGCTCTGGCCCTAACATCCACATTTTTATTTTCTTTGGCAATTTGGAGATGGGCTCTTGGTCAAAGCGTTCTTTTTCTGTTTTCCCCCTTATATCCAAATGTTGAGACCCAGGGGAAACCTTTCATGTGGAGGCTCAATAGGCCTTCGGGTTGTAGATCAGCGCTTGCCTCTCCCTGCACCCTCCCATTGCTTTTGACCCATATTGTCAAGTACAGAAGTAAGAGCTCTTCTGTCTCCAGTCTTTAAGTAAGGGCATGCGTGAATACGCGTGTGCTATTATTACTACCAATCCTCAGTTATCTGCCTTAATGGGTATCAGCCATGGTATTGATGATCTACAACCATGGTTCCTCCAGGACTTGTTCTTATGTGATTTTATAAAGCCTCATGATTCATGTGGCGGCATAAGGACTCTGTGCTCCCCATGGATTCACAGACTGTGGGTTGTCAGCAAAGGAGGAGGAGAGAGGAGGCGCCATGGGGACCTATAGGTTGAGTGTGTACCAGCTTGGCCCTACCTTTATTCCCTAAGAAAGCCAGGGAGGATCATTTACCTAGAGGGAAACCTGAGAGTTGGCTGAGTTTAGGTGTCTTCCCTTCTCCAGGGAAGAGGATAAAAACATAACAGAAGCAGATATGTCTTGGAAATCACACTTCCAGCAGAGTCTAGATTGAAATAACATGTGGTGTGACTGCAGGGTTAGAAGGGGTATTAATAGAGCCCTGAGCCCCTGTTGTTTATGGAGGAGGTCTTGTATCCTGTTTTAAGAAATTGACTATTCCCATTTCCCTTCTCCCTACCATACTTTTCCAATAAGCTTCATGGGAAATTAAAAAAAGGAAAATAACATTTGGTGCAGAGGTGGCCCAGATACCCCTTTGGGAAAAGAGTAGAGAATAAGTAACAGCAGTGGCATCTCTAGGTCTTTGTGACTACCGCCTCTTCTTGTTGTGCTGAGTTCTGGGGTCACTGTGCATAATGGAGCGAACCTCATCCGTAGAGGGGTGCAGAAGGGATGTGGTTGGGATATTTGGACTTCTTTACTATTTAAGCTCTTCAAAGACGTGTCTTCACATCTGTTTTTTTTTTCCTTCTTTTTCTCTTGCTACTAAGTACAAAAATATTTCAAGATCTATAACTCACTCAAATCCCCACACAAGGAATTTAAAGATGTACCACAAGAAAGAGGGAATTGGCACATATATATGTATAGCATCAGTCCTGCTTCCCTAAGCAATTGCTCCCAGCTGTAAAATGAAGATTATATTTACCATACCTCATAGGGATGTTACAGATTAATTAGTTGACAATTTAAAATGCTTTGAAGAACAAGGGCTCTTTAGAAATGCTAATTGCCTCATTAGCGTTTGATTTAACCTCTTCTGCCAGAATGAGCAAGGGGAAAAGAAGATGGAGACTTGCCATCTCTTGCCAGTTACTCTAGGACAGCGGTTCTCAACCTGTGGTTTGTGACCCCTTTGGGGGTCGAACAACTCTTTCACAGGGGTTGCTACTCTTTCACAGGGGTTGCTTAAGATCGGCTTGCATGAGTGGCGCCTGTGGCTCAGTGAGTAGGGAACTAGCCCCATATACCGAGGATGGCGGGTTAGAACTCGGCCCCGGCCAAACTGCAACAACAACAACAACACAACAACAAAAAAGACCATCCTGCATGTTAGATATTTGCATCATGATTCATAAACATTAGCAAAATTACAGTTATGAAGTAGTATTGAAAATAATTTTATGGTTGGAGGTCACCACAACATGAACTGGATTAAAGGGTTGCGGCATTAGGAAGTTTGAGAACCAGTGCTCTAGGAAATTGTGATAACCTTATTTATATTCTGTGGTTAATGTGATAGAATTTCTAAGAATATAAACTATCTATATTTGCATTTTTTAAAGAGTCAGATAAAAATGGGACGGGGGAGAGGGACTTCAGATGGAAAGTCTCATGTTTATGCTTGAAGGGGGAAAATGCATTACATATGTTCAAATCACATTTCTAAGGATACTTCTTTGATTTGAACATTCCTTTGTAGCTTAGTCTTAACAGAGCCGAGTCTGAAAAGTATGAACTGGTTAACCAGTTTGTTTGTGTTGGTGTTGCAGATTCATTTATTTTTATAATCTTATTTCCAGGGGTGAGCCAAAAACCTGGTATGGAGTCCCAGGCTATGCTGCTGAGCAGCTAGAAAATGTTATGAAGAAACTAGCTCCAGAGCTCTTTGTGTCTCAGCCAGATCTCCTTCATCAGCTTGTGACCATCATGAACCCCAATACCCTGATGACTCACGAAGTGCCTGTATGTTCTGAGTTAATCCTCCTGCCACTCAGGCTTAAATTCACCACTTCTTTTTTCCCAGTATTCACTATGTCATGAATACATACATTTGGTTATGTATTTCCCATAGCATAACTTGATAGCACAAACAGCTGTTGGGTGCAGTTTGATACTTTGATAGTATTAAGCCAGTGGCACTTGATCCTCAGATACCATAAAAATTATAATTTGTTGAAGCTAATAATTAGATCACTAAACAGACGTGCTTTGCAAATAGTGAATGCTTTACTTATTTTTCCATGTACAATTTGGTGGTTTTAGTATATTCATAGGTTGTGTATCATCACAAATGCTTTCTAAACTATAATTTCATTTTTTCTTCTTCTTCTTCTTTTTTTTTTTTTTATTTTTATTTTTTGAGACAGAATCTTGGTCCGTCACTGGGGCTAGAGTGATGTAGCATCAGCCTACCTCACAGCATCCTCAAACTCCTGTGTTTAAGCGATCCTCCTACCTCAGCCTCCTGAGTAGCTGGGACTAAAGGCACCTGCCACCACACTAGTTAATTTTTCTATTAATAGAGACGGGTCTCATTTTGCTCAGGCTGGTCTGTTTAATTCCTGAGCTCAAGTAATCCTACCACTTTGAACCCCAAGAGTGTTAAAATTATATGTGTGGGCCATTGTTATTGGCCCATGATCTTAATTTTGAATGATGAACTGAAACAACGTTTGGTAGATCTTAGTTATATTAGACTTCTAACTCTAATCAAGCTGATTTTAAGTAAAAATTTATTTCAAGGTCTTGAGTTTAGATTGTAGGGTTTCCCAGTCTCTAGGAAAGGTGCTGTTGGTGATATTTTCTCTGAGGTTGCTATACTAAGTGAAACTTCATAGTCTTGGGTCACATAACAATTGGGCTACATTCTGAGAAATGCATAATTAGGGGATTTGATTTCAGCATTGTGTAGGTACCATAGAGTGTATTTACAAAAACCTACACGGTATAAGTTGGGCATGGTGGCTAATGCGTGTAAGCCTAGCCCTCTGAGAGATCAGGACCAGCAGATTGCTTGAGATCAGCCTGAGCAAGAGCAGCAGCACCCTGTCTCTATTAAAAATAGAAAAATTATCAGAGTGTTGGGGTGGTAACCTGTAGTCACAGCTACTTGGGAGGCAGAAGCAAGAGGATGGCTTGAGCTCAGAGTTTGAGGTTGCTGTGGGCTGTTATTAGTGCTTATAGGGTACAAATCTGTACAGCATTGTACTCTGTTGTATACTATAGGTAATTGTAACACAGTGTTAAGTGTTTGTGTGGGTTTTTTTGTTTTTGTTTTTGTTTTTTTTTGAGACTCAAGCTGTAGCCCTGGGTAGAGTGCTGTGGCATCTCAGCTCACAGCAACCTCCAACTCCTGGGCTCAAGTGATTCTTCTGCCTCCGCCTCCCAAGTAGCTGGGACTACAGGTACCCGCCAGGCTATTTTTTGGTTGTAGCTGTCGTTGTTTGGGCCCAGGCTGGATTTGAACCCACCAGCTCAGGTGTATGTGGCTGGCAACTTAGCTGCTTGAACCACAGGTGCCGAGCCAAGTGTTTGTGTATTAAAATGCATTTAAACATAGGAAACGTACAGTAAAAATATGATACAACAGTGAAAATGTCATGTGGTGCATGACTGTACTGGCTTCCTTCTGGAAAATACTCTGATATTTTAGGAGACCACATTCAAATGTATGAAGTTGAAGAGCCTATCTTAGCTAAATAAAATGCACATGGTACATTTACAGTGTTAAAGTGAATTTTTGGGCTCGGCGCCTGTGGCTCAAGTGGCTAAGGCGCCAGCCACATACATACACTAAGGTGGCGAGTTCGAATCCAGCCCTGGCCCGCCAAACTACAATGACGCTGCAACCAAAAAATAGCCAGGCCTTGTGGCAGGCACCTGTGGTCCCAGCTTCTTGGGAGGTGGAGGCAGGAGACTTGCTTGAGCCCAGGAGATGGAGGTTGCTGTGAGCTGTGATGCCATGGCACTCTACCCAGGGGGACAGCTTGAGGCTCTGTCTCAAAAAAAAAAAAGGTA